ACTGAAACGAGTTTCACCATTAAAGCAGTTCACCACTCATTGTTCAATTACGTCATGAACCAGTTTCACCTTCATGAAACCTGTTTCATGTAAATTAATTTTTTTTATTTCACTCATGATTTGATAGATTCTTTCATTTACTCCTTACAATCTTCAAGAATGGATCAGATTACAATCTTCAAGATCCGAAGCAGATTCATCATGTACCCGTTTCATCATGCAATTATTTCATGACGAACMAAATAAATTATGCATCCGTTTCATGTTCCATTTTTTCTACTAAACAGATCAATTACACCATCATTGAAACATGATTAACCATGAAATGATTTCATATTATTCATTAATCAATTACAACATGACCCAGTTTCACCTTCATGAAACATGTTTCATGTAAATTAATTTTTTTTATTTCACTTATGATTTGATGCATTCTTTCCTTTAATCCTTACAATCTTCAAGATTCTGGAGCAGATTACAATCTTCAAGATCCCGATGCAGATTCATCATGTACCCGTTTTATCATGCAATTATTTCATGACGAACCAAATAAATTATGCATCCGTTTCATGTTCCATTTTTCTACTAAACGGATCAACTACACCATCACTGAAACATGGTTCACCATGAAACGATTTCATATTTTTTTAATGTGCCTCTCTCTCTCTCTCTCTCTCTCTATATATATATATATACCCTTATCATATTATAATACGTATGAGGGGACCCTGTGATGTGCGGACGACGTGTTCAATGACTTAGTCCATGTCAAAGGTTGTCTGCGTCTATGATTTAGCATCACATGTGATGGTCTTGATGGATTATGGTATCATATCAACAACACTCTTACAAATGTGATAATACATGTGGGGGGCTTAGTGGTGTAAGGGCGACTTGGCCTGCAACCAAGATCGCATCGAAAATCGCCTTTTTTTTTCCAGGTGTTCTACTCGTCTTTACTGACTTTGAGGGCCCAGACCTCAATAATTAAACAAATAAACGAAATATTAGCAAACAATGAAATGAGATTAAACAATTTATGAAATACATGTTTCGGCCCATGGTTAAATATATCTAACCATTATTTAGACTCATCGTTAATTAATTGGATGGTGTAATATGAGTACCCCTCTTTCCCTTCTGAATTTGAAGAAATATATTATTGGGTTGGAGGGTTCCATTTACGGTTCAGTAGACATGAGTTCTGTTTGATCACGAGTTTAAGATTTGGCCGGATCTTCGCCCATCACATTGTACCATACCTAATATTATTACAAGATTGTTTGGTAATAATCTTTATAATATTAAAGTCAAACATTTTAAAAATAAATTGACCGGCTTAAATAATAAAAATATATCAGACGATGATGCGGTGCGTGTCTGCCTCGTAATTATGCTTCATACGTTGTTTCTGGGACGAAAGAACCACAATATCCAACACTGGATTTTGCACCTGGTTGAAAATTTAGATGCTTGAAACCAATACCCGTGCTGCAACAGAAATATCTTTAGCCATATCTACCTCCCACAAAGTTTTTGACTGTTCTGAAGACTGGTACAGAGACTGGATCAGGTACGAGTTAGGAGATTGTCTTAGAGACAAGTTTAAATCTTGAACCAAATAACTGTCATGATCAACAAAATTTTTTGGTTCAAAATATGAATTTCCATCAACACCACCGGGAAAGAAAGTGCTTGGATTTCCACCACTGCTACCACTAGCGATGAAAGTGCTTGGATTTCCACTACTACCACCACCGGAGTAAAAAGTGTTTGGACCATATGGGTTTGCACCACTACCGCAGGGGAAGAGAGTGCTTGAATTTCCACCGCTAACACCAATGGGGTAAAAATTGTTTGGATCGCCGGGTAGACTTTGATGGATTACGACACTTGATGGATTTCCACCATAACCACCATCGTCGACCACAAAGAGTGTCAACATTTCCGGTAAACTTTGATGAACGGCGTTATGGAACATTAGCACATCGTCGTCATCGCTTAACTAATATAATATTTGTAAGGAATTCGTTTTATAAAATAAAATGAAAGGACTATGTAAACTTAACTTTTTTGTAACACGTTTAACCAAACCAGAATGCGTTATTGGCGAAGGCAAACGTAATACATATACGTGAGAGCTTAACGGAAGGTACTCTAAGACACCGTTTATCTTCTGGAGTGAACTGCCACTTCGAAGATACACCAAAACATCATCACTTTGACGTGATTTTATATTTGTGTTTAAGGATGAAGGGTTGTGATGGTAGATTATGTTTAATGGATTAAGGGTTATGAATTATGATGGTTTATTGTGTTTAAGAGTTAAGAGTTGTGAGAGTAGAAGATATGAGAATATAAGTGAAAAATGAGGTGTGAAAATAAAATCAAAGAGAAGGATGCTATTTATAATTAAATTTGTTGCACTAAAAGACGAAATATGATTCAACAAAAATAAAGCTGGATCGCCCCCGGGAGAAGATCCGATAAGGTGGAGGCGATCCCGGTATACAAGGAACATAGTGTTTGGTCTCTTAAAGTAGACACATGTGAGCCCACTAATTAATTTCAATTTTTTTTTGTACTTTTGGTCAATAAAATGGAAGACCGCCTCCATGGTCGAACCATGCCTCCTGGGGAAGATCCATGCGGCTATTTTGGTAAATCTCATAAAAAATAACTATTTTGTTAATATATAAAGTATACTCTAGTCATTGTTCATAAAAATCTCATATATATAAAACAAGTAAATGGATAACAAAAAAACACTTTATCCATGCTCTACTCATTAAAATATCGAGTAAACGGATAATAGATAAAGGAGGTTGATATCCCACCCCTTACGTCACTTCTCACCCCCTCCTCCTCACATCTTTCCGTCCCTCACACCCTCTCACATACTCACCCCTCACATGCTGGCCCCTCACATTCACCGAATTTTTAAAAATTTTAATTTAAAATTTATATTTTATACCCTTACAATTTGATAATTAATTTACTTTACATCCTTTCATTTTAAAATTTTCATTTTACACCCTTATCAAATTAACACACGTTTAAAACATGTTTAAAAAATACGTTTTTATTTTAACAAATTACACCATTATAATCTTCTCGTTAATATCTTCGAAATGAGTCAAATATTGAATAGTTTTTTACTTAATTATATTATTATAATATATATATACTATGAACAAATATTTTTAATTATTATATATTATATATACTATGAACAAATATTTACACTTTATATTATTATAGTTATTTATTTAATTTATAGTACATAATTTATTTTTTTAATTTTCGTTTTACACCATTATCACATTGAAATACATAATTTTATATTAACTAAAATTAGATCTAACAACTAAATTAACTTTTCAGGAAGCATTTTCATACCCTTTATTCATCTTGTTCATCTTACATACTCATTTTTTAATATACTTTTTAATTTTAAAATTATACTTCATATTCTATAGTTACTTAATTAATTTATTTTTATAGTTTTGTTTTTTCTATTTTTTGTTTTATACCCTTATCACATTAAGATACATCATTATATATGAACTAAAATACGTTCTAATTTTAACAAGTTACATCATTATAATCGTCTTGTTAATATCTTCAAAATAAGTCCAATATTGAATATTTTTTTATTTAATTATATTATTATATCATATATTACTAAGGAAAAATATATTTAATACTTATACTTTATACTCTTGTAGTTAATTATGTAATTTATGGTATGTCCCTTTGTTTTTCATTTTTCATTTTATATCCTTATCACATTAAGATACATAGTTGTATATTAAGTTAAAACATGTTTTTATTTTAACAAGTTATATCATTATAAATTGTCTCCTCAATACCTTCGAAATTTATTAATATTGAATATTTTTTGATTTAAATTATATTATTATATGATAAATATTTCAAAAGAATATTTTTATCACTTACACTTTATACCATTATATTTATTTAATTTTTGAGTACATCCCTTACTTTTTCATTTTTTGTTTTACACTTTTATCACATTAACATACATAATCGTATATTAAACTAAAATACGTTAAAAGTATATATTTTTATTTTAACAAGTTACACTATTATAATCGTCTCGTCAATACCTTCAAAATAGTCTAATATTGAATTCCTTTTATATTAATTATATGACCATAATAATATAAATATAACAAGAATATAAAAAAAAAAGTAAAAAAAAATGTATCACGCTGTATTATGAGAGCATTCTTCTAGTATTTATAAAGACATAAAGTGTATATAAAAAAATCATATACAAATATAAAATTTAAAAATACATATTTTTAATATTTTATTAATTAATAATATAGAATTAATTAATTTATATAATTATTAGAAGAA